TCACTATTATTTTTCCCATCAGGGACAGAAGAGGGCATGATGAGAGCAACTGGAGACGGAGGGGAACTAAGTTGAAAACGTGTTACCTAGTGCTGTATGTAAATCAGTGGCTCTCCAGCTGTGTGACTCCCATATCATGTCTGGCAGCAATAACGTGTGAGAGGTAGCCTGCATAGGGCTAGGCAAGAAATTATGAACAGTCTCCAGCAGGTTAGGATACAGAGTGACAGGGGTAAATCACAGGTCTGGGAGGATATAGGGTGCTAGGCATGGCTTTGGTGAAGTCTCAGAAAATTTGTGGTTCTGCAGATAGTAGAGAGCTGTAGGTGCAGGGATGTAGGACCAATCCCCAGCTTGCATTGGTCCCTGGGTGCTCAACATGTTGCTGACATTTGTGGTTGAAAGAAAAAATGGCCTTTTGCTTAGTTGTTACAGCAGTTTAAAAAGAAAAAAAAAAAAAAAAAGTCTTTGGCCACACAAGACAAAAAAAGCTGACATCAGTGATGAGATATTGTTATGCCATTTTGCCTGTTTGTATGCATACAACACCCAGAAACCATTGTTTGGAGCAGTTACTTATTCCATACCCACCATCAGCCCTGCTCATATTAAAGCAGACAGGATATTCTTAAACTTTTTTTTCTTAGTTGTTTAGACTGTCTCTCATTGTTACCCCTAGTAAACCTGAGAGACTCCTTATCTCTGCATCTTAAGTGACGACTAGCACATATCCTCTCGGGAGTGTTTCAATAACTTCTCTGAGGTCAAAATCGCATTATGACAGCATGTAACAATTTAGTTTATATTTTTAATCCCATTTAACACTTGGAAGAAAACTGAGGAACACTAATAGGAAGGATTCAGGGCTGTAAGGAACTGTACCCTGAGCCACCAAAATGTTTAAGCACACCAATTGTCCCACTGCAGCTGATGGACTTGTTTGTAGGCTTAGAGTATTTGGTTAAGTCAGCATATTCAGATCAAGTCTCATGTGAGCAATATTTCTCCATGCTTCATCAATCATTAACAGGTGTTTCACAAACCATGTTCTGATAGTAGATATGATAGGGTTTCACGCCTCCTGTTAAGAGGTTCCTTATGCTTGCCAAAATCACAGGAGGTTTTATTCTGCTCCTGTTAGTATGAGTGATGAAACAGTAAATGGAAATTACTGTATCAAATAGGGTGGATGGTAGAAGATGTAAGGTGGGGAAAGAAGGAAGGAAAGGTGTTGCATTTGAAAATGTGCAGAATGAGAAAGATTACAGGAAAGACATCTCACATAATGAAAAGGGAAATGAGACAAGCGGAAAAGTCAGCAGAAGATTGCAGCTAAACCTGATGCCATCTTGCCTCTACTTGCCACTGGTTTCATCTCCTAACAGTCTCGCTCACAGTACCTTCATCTACAGAAGCTCTTGTGGAACAGAGTAGTTTTCTCTAATGTTTTTCTCTTTACAGCTTTTGTTGCTCTTTTCCCTGGCCAACATTTTGCTTCAGTTCTTAAAACTTATTGTCCTTTTAGAAGGACAAAGAAAACTTGTGTGGCAAGATTTGTTTCAGGTGTCTGTCTGGTCAGTGTAAGTGCAGCTTAAATGGAATATCATTCGTGCACTCACCTTATTGTTGTTCAAGGATACAGAGCAGAAGTCCACCCTACATGAGTTACATGATCTCGCTTTGCAACTACCTGCTTCAGAGATTATGGCTTTATGTATTATGGGTTGTCAGTCTCAGACCACAGACAGATCTTCCTCAATAATTGGCTAACAAATCCAGAACGAACTCTCAGAGCTCAAGGACATCTGTAATCACAACGCCTTTACTGCAGTGGAAGGCAAAGCCTATTTTTCACATCTTTGATCTTCAAAAATCACCCTTTGTAATTATGGAAGGTGATTAGATAATATAGTTTAATGCAATACTTTCCCACACTGTTAAATACAGTTGTTATTACAGAAGAATATTAATTTATTTCAGAGTTATAAATTTGAATATAAAGAGTAATATGTGCTGGAACTGAATATGTAGGTGAGAAAGAAGATATTATCCAGAAGTGGCACTTCAGATAAACATTGCAACCAGTGTCTGATTTTAAATGTAATCAAATGGTTCTGCAAGTTTGGTAGGAGATTCTATTGTTTCAGAAATAATTTGTTTTCTATCATTATGTAATGGACAGAGGCTGAAACTATTTTTCATAATTGTCATGGAGAACAGAATATAAATTATACATTTAGACTGCAAGAAATAAAATTTTCAACCATGGTAACATAATCGACTTTAATATACTCAGCAATTCTGTTAGTAGTACTTTTGAACATTTTGTTATACATTTGTGAACAAGTACAGCTTAAATAATAAAAATTTTAAAAATTAAGGGGGTTTTTGTCTGTGATATGTTTATTTGTGTATTTCATTTACCATGCATAACAACACTATGCTTCTGTATAGCAGTTTCCAGTAGAACAATACTGATGTGGCTGCATTTCCAGCTTTTTGAGGAACCATCAAAATTTTACAAAAAAAACAAACCCAAGCCCTAGTGCATTTCTGTTTCATTATTTTAAAAGTATTTCCAGTAGGTTTTAATTGATCAGGAAAATACTGATTTTTCTTTTAGCAAAAATCTAAGACCTGAGTCTGCTACAATGACATAAAAGAGAGATCTGCCGTTTGCTTCACGGTGAGCAAAATGGGTTTTGTAATCTGAGATTTGGGACATTTTTAGAACATTCTTCTGGGATCCAGCTTGTTTTCTATTAAAACTAATGAAAAGACCCCTGTGGCATTTTGCAGGAATTGGACCAGGGTCTTGGCGGTACATCTGCTCTATATATAACTTGCATACCGCCGATGATATCAGTGGGAGATAGACTCCCAACCCAAAGGAGCTGTAAGAAGTGAAGGATTTTTAGAGAGGTAAGGCAGGCTGAAATAATTGCCCTGGCAAAGGGCAGTTAAGAGTTGTGTGAAACAACCTGCAGCTTTGTAATGTTTTGAAAAGCCAGACTCTGTCAGAGTGATGTAATCGCGCATCCGTAGATATTTGTCATTTTCTGTGACAGTTGTCTGAGAACCTAAGTGCGTTAAGGTTCTAATTTTAAAAGTCTCCTACTGTGGAAATGCTCCTTACTGCGTTTTTGTATGGGACCTACGCTTATGTTGTTGGCTGCTGGGCTACTCCGGTTTTCTACTAATTTAAACTGTAACGCATAGTTGTAGAACAGGATGTAGTGTAGAATTGAATCAAGCTCTGTGTGTCAAACAGTACCTAAGTCTAGTAGGATGATTTTAGTTGTAGTTCAGCCTGTATTTTAAGTTTCTCCCACCACTTTTTTTGTGTATTTTGATTTGCGTAGCTTTTTTCTCTATTGCATCCAAGATCTTTCTGTCACTCAGAATGGACCATCCAAATTTTTGAAATCCCTTACCTTGTTTACAGAAATTTTATTACTATAATTACCTCTGTATAGGCCCTCTAGTATTTCATCCAGCAGGAAATCTGTCAGTTTTAAAAAGAGTTGAATAGAACCCCGTTGGAATTTTACTGGAAATAAATTGATTTATTTCCGTCAGAAGTATCACTGTCTCAGGTGTTACACATTTACATGCTATTAAGAGTCTTTGTTTTCTCATCCTAACAATTCTATAAAGATCAATTTCTAATTAGAAACTGATATTTCTTGGTTTTTTGGTGTTTCCACATTTGTCATAGATCCAACACCCTAGAAATATTAGTGGAGTCCAGTAATCTTTCATCAATAATCCATCTGTAAAAAGCCAATATGATTGAGCCTTCTAAGGCTCTAAATTAATAAAACTATTTTCCTAGTAATTAAAATATCTTAATTTTATTTCTTGTATTTAATAATTTCTGTTCACTTAAATGTTGAACTTAGCTTACATATTAACAAAGTAAATTCGGACCTTTGTTTTTATTGTCTTGTTTTTCAGCTTGAACTCCCTTTCTTCCAAGGTATCTCAGCATCCACAAGTGGAGTAATATTTTCTTATATCCTCAGTACTTAAACATGTGAATGAACACAGTAATCAATGTGAATGAGCACATTAATGATTTAAAGCAGAGATTCTTGGCTTATGTTTATTCCTAATTTACATGGACCATGAAGCTACGCTCTTGTAAGAAACCAGTGGGTCTGATCCTAGCAAGGGGAAGAAAGGAAAGCATTGGGCTGAGTCACTGAGGGGAAGGAGGACAGTGGGTTTAGCAGGTCTTGAAAGCAGAACTATGATTGCTGTAGCAAAAAGAGTAGAGAGAAAGGAGCATGTGGTGCAGCTGATACTTTATGGGTAAATGCTATATACATAGTACCTCACTAAGGCCAGGAGGGAATTAATGCAGGCAAGGGGACTGAAAAGCAGTCATGTGAGTCTTGGTGATAAATATTCAGATGTCATCCTGATCCACCTGATGAAACAGATATGCATGAAAGAAACTTGGATCAAAAGAAAACCTACTTACGCCCCTCCCTGAATCCATAGGAGATGGTTGTGTTTATGGAGATCTTCCCCTGTGGCCAAATTGAGCATGGTGAAAAGTAGAGCCCATGTGGCATGAAGAGGATTGTATGTATGGTTTCCTTGAGAAAGTAAGTGGGGTCTGCCTCAAGCTGTGATGGCCTACAAATATCAATTAACAAAGCCACATAACTGATACCAACAGTCTTTTACAGACAAATATGTCAGTTCTGGACAGGATTTGCTCTGATAACTTCTGCTTATCATGGACATTTTTTAGTAATTAAAATCACCTTGTCAGTACATGGGTCATTATTAAGATACTTAGACATTACTACAGTGCAACTAATCTCGTACTGAGACGTAAGTGCCCATCTACCAGGCATTTAAATTTATGAAGTATTACAAATGTTGTGAAAAAACACTCATAAACTTTTTGTTAAAATATCATGGCTAGTCTACCACCCCTGAAATCTCAGCTTGAACTCATTATTCAGATCATAGCAACATCATATTCTTCATTCAATAACAGCAGGGTTTACTCGAGGCTTTTTTTCCAATGGTTTCTTTCCCTGCTTATTCAAGCTTTCTGTGGCCTGAGGAACCGTTTCTGCTACTGCTGCCTTTCCATCAGCTGTCTTTGCTGCTCGCTGGTTGCTTTTTGTATCCTTTTCTGTTTCCACAGCAGGGATTTTATTTGGGTCAGGTGTCTCCTCTGTAGCAATAATTTCTTCTACGTGTGGCTTAATAAAATCTGATTTAAGCAAAGTAATAAAATTTCCCTTATAGGTACTATGCTTAGCAACACAGAGGTATATAGACTTTGCTTTCACATTGGTTATGACCTTACCATGTTCTTTTCCTCTTCCCATACCCATATAAAGAGATTCAGTATCACAAATAACATTACTACTTTTTACAGAGCCAAAAACAAGCCCAAGATTTTATGGTCTCTAATTAAAAAGATTAAGGGTTAGAACCTGCAAAACATTTACATATGTAAGTAATTGTTTCTCACATAAGTCATCTGGTTTACAGGACTGTTTGGCAATGTCTAGGTTACCCATACCAGTAAGACAAGAGAGGAGAGAAATGCAGTTAAATGTTTGTTCTTGCCTTAGGAACAGAAAGGGGAGGGGAATAAGAGTATAAAATGTTCTGTCAGCAATGATATAAGGTATATACACCCTGTATACAAAGAAAAATACTTAGGCAAAAATATGTAAAACAGACATTCTGATAATGTTGGAATTTAAACCTTATTTGGAGCTAAAATGCTCTACATGAGGGACTTGTAGTTGTGGAGAATAAATCAATGTCCAAGTAGCAATTATATAGTAAAAGTCTAAAAGAACAGTAAAAATCTGTAATATACAAGAATGCTGAATCACCAGAGACCTTTTCATTTTCCACCCCTTCTCTAAATTGGATCAAAAAAAATAGTCACTTGGAATTCTATCTTTACTATTTAATATGGACATTGAGAGAGAATAATTGATTAATCTCAAATAGTGGCTATATGATCAGAATTTTCTAAAACAATTTGTCGTTTAGAACTCATTAATTGGGAAGGCCTTTTTTGTTTAGTGTCAAATGTCTAGCTGCTGAAATAAGTCTCACTTTGAAAAATAACACCATCTGTGTATACATATATATGCTTAGGAGGTCTTTCCTCTGCATTCAGAAATTTGACAGTATTTATTATGGCTTAAAAAACTTTCATTTGCCACGTGAGCCAAGGTGAGAACTCACAGCCCAGTGGACAGGTGATTCAAAAGTGTTGATTTAAATCTCTTTCATTGAGGTTTAGCATTTGTTGTTGATTAAGAGCATACATACTGTAAACTTGATTGTTTGGGACCTGAGAAATATTGATTGGCACAGACTATTAACTGCATAATGTTTAACAATTTTTTCATTGGAGTAGAAGTCATGAAAGTACTCTTACCTTTCTTTTCCCCTTCCTTCCGTTTGCTTGCTGTCATTGTTTTTTTCTTTTTAGATACAGTTATATTATTTTGATCGTGTCCTTGGACTGTGTCAGTCTGTCCTGACACAGAAATCACAATCACCTGAAGCAAAGCAAGAACAAAAAGTGCACAAGCAAGAAATGTGGGTGCATCACAAATTCAGTCTGAAAACACCATAACTGAATCCCTGGCAGCAATACGTTTAGAAGCAGCTATTACTCTGATTTTCAGGGACACATACATCTTCCAAAGCAAAGAGAAGTAGAATCCAGCCTGTTATCTGGGAGATGGCCCACTTGTATTCCCTTCCTCACAGTTCTGCCAAAAGGAGGAAGGCAGGAGGACAGATGTTTGAAGATAAAGTAGTAGTAATAAGCTGCTGCCAAAATGCAATCATTATTAAAAATATGCTAATGCTACGTAATAAACATCTGATATCAGGTATTGTGAAGAGGAAGTCATATTCTTGTTTGCACTCTGGAGGATGAAAGAGATGTGACACTTGCTTTTAAGGTGTATATCCTGGAATGAAGATGGAGTGACCTGCTTATCGTCCTTGAATTGGCTTCATGTCATACTAAGCAAAATTGTAAAATAATTTTTCACTAGTTCTTTGAACTCAGAAAGCTTGCTATATCTAAGATTACAGATATTCTTGTGATTATATTCTGAAATATAAAAATTAAGCTGTTTTACTGTCTGATACGCAGCTGTTGTGGCTAAACAGTCTGAACTTTTTCTTATAACAGATACTTATTCATTAATGTACGTAATTACACACATAAACCTTAAAATTGCAATAATGTCATCACATTTGATTCTTGAGTTTTAACTATTTAGGAAATAAGGCTGTGTGAACACATACACTGTTTATGTGAAGTGCTGAAAACACATGAGTTTTACATTCATGTTAAAAATCCCTGTGATGTGAAATCTATTATTGAAGAAAAAAGATTTCTGCAAGATAAACTTACTATGTTCCTTAAAACCAGTGGTACTACTCATGCATAAAGTCAAGCACATGCTAATGTGTTTTGGTAGGTCATAAATCTAATTTAAATCTGGATTTCTTTTTTAACAATTAAGATCATAATCATTATCCCTTTATGGAAACTGACTAAAAAAACTATTAAAAAATTGCAAAACTTACCATTTTCACTATTGATACCTACATTGAATCTATTGTTACCTGAGCTGTTAAGAATTTCCTCATGCTTCTGCTTTGCCTTTAAGGTTAGCTGACAGTAAACCTCAGATGGAAAGGGTTTAAGTGAGTATTAATGGTACAGCTTTTACTAGTGGCATCCTCACAGAAATGTCAGTACTGCAGCGAAGTGAGTGCCTGGGAAACAGCACTATGTCTGCAGTCAACAGTAGCTAAAAATGACAAGAGAAAGTATGTAAAAGGTGGCCACAGATTACACTTACACTGAAGATATATACGTTAGTTCTTTAGATTTTGATGTGAAGAATTGTGCTGTTCTGGGGCTAGTAATTAAAACAATTATTAATATGGCACATTGCTCTCCTAATTGGCAATTGGGCTGATAACTGCTTCTGATCATATGTATATATGAGATACATATTGTGTAACATGTATATCATATATGATATATATTATATGACAAGTATATATCGTATGTATGTCCATCAGGATGCACATATATATACCTTCTGTTGTTCTTCCTCAAGTAATAATAATTAGTGGCAATGTTGTAAAAGAGCTGACATGGAGTTTTAAATCTATATAAGTGTGTTAAAAGATCTGGACAAATGTTTTTTTGTCTGAAAAACCCCACATTTTCTTTCTGTGTTTCAGTGAAGATTCTTTTTGTAGCTTTAAAAGATCTTGACAAAATGTTCTTTCTGATCTCCAGTGTTGAGTTTGGATGAAATTAACTGAGGTCTCAGTCTAACAAAATATGTCGCTAACACCATTAAATCAAAATTCATGAGCAGGTCCATTGAATTGTGTGACACTACTCCTGTGCCTGAATTTGCAAAAATACCTTGTTGAGTTGAGATGTGAAGTAGTGAAGGTCTGGACAGAAAGGTGTGAAGAGATGCCATTGTGGGTTTTGTCATGAACAGTGAAGTGAAGATTAACAGGGATCTAAAGGGAAGCTAGAGGTAATTACAGTGGTGAAAGCATTAGGATACTAAGATACTGTGCACAACTACCAGAGCCGTGACTAGTAACACAAGACACAGTGAAACAAGCTTGTGATGGAAGGAAAGAAGTGAATTCAGTTTATTTGTGAACATAGAGGAGAGTTCATACATTTTTGCAGACACACACACACACATTAGTATTGTGGTCTCCTAAGCCTAATTTTCATTTATGTTACAGTACTTTTACCCCAATTGGGCAGATTAAACAATATTTATGGATGTAAATGACACCCATATTAAGGCCTCTCTAAATTAACACAGCAATACAAAGGGGCCTTAATGTCGACAAAATACAGCACTAATTTCTCCATGATTTAATTCTCCAACACATTCTATCTATGCTACTTTACCAAAGTTGGAACAAATCTAAACTGCTGCTGAAAAACATCTTGATCATTTTTTATCTTTCCATCTACCTCATCAGTTGCCTCTGCTGAAATGATTCTTCACCCTTTCCATTTTTGTTGTATGGTTAAATGCCCCAGGAAGAGGGTCAAATAGTGGATCTGTATTTACAGCCAGCATGCATTTGGCCTGGCTGAAGATGCTACAACTACGTTCTGTGAAGTTAGCAGTAAGAAAATATTTAGGAAAGCCGCTGTTTTCTCTGTCACCATTAAGTGTATTAGAAGCAAAAGTGAAGTGAATGGCAAAACCCAAGGCTGCCTACTAAAGCAGAAAGCCATTTACACACGCAGATTATGTCAGCCTATCATCCAAAATACCAAACCCCCCCCCCCCCCCATACTTCTGTTTCCTAGTCTTAAATTCATGCTTTTGTTTTCTTATCTTCTTTCTTTTTCTCTTCCTCAGACTGTCTCTCTTCCTCAGGTATGAACACACTTACAGTGACATCGCTGGTCTCTGTGCCATACTTGTTCTTGACCACAATGCTGTATTTCCCAGAGTCGAGCGTGGACACGGTAGAAATGGTAAAACTGACATTTTTTCCAGATTCAAATCTCAGGATGCAGTTAGCATCTGATACAAATGGTTTTTCATTCTTCAGCCATGAGACCTCTGGGGTAGGATCTCCCCAGACAGTGCAAGAAAGATTAAGTGCCTATAGAAAAAATACAAAAGGATTATAAGTAAGAGTCAGTAAACATTTGCTGTGGTTTTTTAATACCTGACTCCAAATGTTCCACTCCCCATTTGGCTTCCTGCTTTTATTAAATGGATGCATATCATCATCAGTAATCAATAATTTTTGTCAGTCTTCTCTATCATAAAGGAAAAGAAAGAACTCAGTTAATTCAAAAACTCCATTAAAACTTTTCAATATTTTATGGACCTTCTTCTCTACTCTCAAAATCATTAGCAGAGCTTTTTCCGTGCATATTGTTTAATATAAAATGAGATATTTTCTACATTTGTGTTAGACCTGAAATGAGAATTTGAGAAACTATCAGATGGATTTGTTCACGTTAAGATCACTATATATTTACCACAGAAGTAATGGAAGTGTGCCTGCCTTTTTAAGTAGCTAAGAACAAAGTGTCCCTGGAATATTTTGTTTAATTTAGGATCTTTTTAAACTATGCCCTGACAGCTCTCCAACAGACGTGAACTGTTTTACGCAGGCCTATAAAACTATTTTTAACTGGAATCAATAGAGGCTTTACCCTTTCTTTGGTGTTTATATAAGTATTTCCTTTTGATGTTAGTTATGTTCCTAAGGGCTGAATTCAGTCTCATCAGACTGAAGAAAGTATCTTCATTTTCCGAGAGTCACTTGTTAGAGAGATCACTGGCAGCTGGATTCTTTCTGTATGCTAGCAAGTCTATTGTACACACAATGTTCAGGCCTCCTTTTTTTTGCTGTCAGCTGAGAAATTAATGTTTGGGAGATACCGATACATATAAACAACCTCCTCCGGTTGCAGTGCCATGGGAATCTTCTCAAAAGAATTTGTGAAAATGAACATCACATAGAGAGTCAAATGTGAAAAACGCTTGCATGAAACTTCAGTGGTGCATAGGCCTTTCTCTGTACCTTTATTTAGGAAGGAATAAATGTATATCTAAGTATTAAATAGTACATTGGTCAAACCTAAAAAGTTATTCAATGTAGATTTTTTTTTTTTTAAATAGAAATTGCAGAATTTTTACTGCAGAGAAAATGGTCTGCAGTGGTTCGTTAGGAATGGACTAAGTGATATATAAAGAACAGACAAGCTTCCAGTTGACTGGAATCAAGTTTCTCCTACTTTATTTTAAAGGCTCTTGGTAAAAATACATCAAAATAGAGACAACTCACACTGTTAGCCCTATAGGCTGTCTTGATAGAAATCTACTGTGAGGAATCTATTTAACAGGCTACCTTCCCTTCACCTCTCTGCTTCTTGTCTAGTAGTGTGATGGCGGAAGATGGGACAGAAGAGAGACACCCAGAAGGCTGTTGAAATGAGCAGACAGGAAAAATGGATACCTCTATACAAATGAAAGATTTTTGCACCTCTGACAACAAAATAAAAATAAAATAAGTCTCACATCACCTAAGGACCAAAATGAAAACAAAAGCGAGGGGGAAGTCTTTCCTCCATCAACAACAGGTAATTCTCGGTACCGAAGGAAAGGCAGATTCCAAGTGAGGTGGTTATGACATGGTGGAAATGGCCTCTATCTGGTTTCCTGCAGCACCCACAGCTGGTGACTGCATGGGGCTGTTGACTGCCTTCTCTCATAGCCCACTGCTGTGAATGTGGTTTTGATTGCCATATCAGTCCATCTTTTTGAAAAACAGGGGGAAAACAAGAGGTTTTACATTTCCCCCTCTTCCTTGTCTCTCTCAATACAACCATGCCCTCAGCCTCAGCCAGGCCTTGCATATGAGGCCCTTCCAGTGCTCAGTATCTTTTTGTCTTTTGTCTAGCTGTTGTAGTGAGTGAATGAAATCTATCAGGAAATCTGATCTATCTGAAAACCACTGTGGGAGTAAAACCCCATCCTTTGAACTGAATCTCAGTATTTCAGAGCTCCACATAGGAGTTCCCATAACAAATCTGGACCTGGGGCACTGAAACGTGCACTTGGAGCAAACAGCAGCTTCAAGCCCAGACCCTTGGTGCCCCCCACTACCTTTTCTGCCTTTTGCTGCAGGTTATCATGAGTAGGGCAGTACAGGTGGCAGAGGGAAACGTGTCATTGTATTTCAAATATTACCGTTGCTTTTGCATATTAGCAGAAACTCACACTCATGGGTGGCTTGGGCTAAAATGCCAGCAAGTGAGTTGAAGCAGCTCAATCAGGGGAACCTGCTCCCTTCTTCCAGCCTACTAGTGAGGCCCTGGCCAAAGGGTAGAATGGGGAGCTGGTGAGCAGAAGGATGCAACGTGTTGCTTCTAGGTCTGAAAGTGCCTGTCTGTCAGAATCCTGCACCTCTCCTTTTAAAAATGAAACCCCTTACTCACTTACAGGACTTCACTAAAACAGCCAGTTAGGTTAATTTTGTTAGTTGTACACAAAACTTATGCTAGTATTCTCTGTCTGGTCGAATTCCTCCCTAATATGAACTGACACTTAGCCTTTTCCAATTATATCACACTGCTGAAGAGCATTTATGTCTCTCAGTGGAAGCCTCTTAGGCCATCTGGAACGCTGTTTGATTAACACTGGGTAAACTCTGGTTCGTTCGTTCTCACACATATCCTTAAGCTCACGTGTGAAAAGCTATTAAAGAGCATCACAGTCACGGTAAGTTTGAGATATGCATATGCTTGGAAGTTCAATCTAGGGATACCAATCTGTTCACATAACTCTGTAGTTATGGCTGCACGTGTATTCAGAATCAAACCTTGCAATTGCCGGTCTTCTGCTACCTCATTTACTGTTTTTCATAATCCTCAATGATTGTGCAATTTGCATTAATTACACAACAGAGAACTGCATTCCCCTCTCTCCAGCATATATGCAAACACTAGACAGATGAGCCAACAACCACCCAGACAATCACTGTTTTCCCTGATCACTCTCTGTCCTACTCTGTTTCTCAAAACGATCATCTACGGAATCCAGAAACGTAAGGTCAAGGATGTTTGTCTCGAGTTCTGGGAGTTCTTCAGTCACTTATTCAAACATCACAAATGTCCTTGCTGTCAAGGACAATGTGTGTCTGGGTAAGATTTTGCAACTCACTTTTATAAACTCCCTTTCTATAAGCTCCACACATTTTGCTTTAGTGAGCTAATACTCAATTTCATATCAACACTCTTTTGGCAGAAAACTTAAAACTGATAACCACACAAATTTATCCCCTGCCAAAGCAGTATGACTATCTTGTCTCCAAGCACAAGCACTATTAGCTGAGAATCTGCAAATTCATTCTGTTTCATTGTCTTCTACCTACAGTTACAAGGCTCATAGGAGCACTTTTTACTTCTACAGCATTTCCCAAACTGCTAAATCCTTTAATGAAAGGTTTAATCAGATGTATCTAATTTAGTAATGCCATCATTCTTAATTTTCACAGAATTTAGATTTTAGATTCTTAGCACTTCTGCTCAGCTTGTAATCAAATACTTTTAACCCAGCTGACCTACTGCCAGATAAAGCCAGAAGTATCAGGAAGCTGCACTACTATTGTTGCCATGTTAAAGGTTTCCAATGACATTCATGTGCCCTATTTCAATGGTCATCCACACTGTGATGAGGAACTGGCTGTTAGCAGACCAGTGGGAAGGGAAGAGCAGGCACTTCTTGGCCTCAGTACTATTATGCAGCAACCTGTAGAAACAGCATGCTGGGAAAGAGATGCAAGACTGAGAACTGACTTTCTGGGTCATCCATTCTGTGCCAAAGCATCGATGTAGCCATGTTCCTTTGGGAGTGCCTTACAATAATAGTTAAGCTGAACTCTGCTAATATAACCCAGTGTAGCACCAGTGACTTCTTTTGACTTCCTTCCTGTTTACCCTGATGAAACAGAGAAAACTATCTCCTTTTGTCTAAGAGAGAATTGAGTTAGACTGATTTACTAGTTTTACAGTGTTTAAAAGACAGCCTTGACAGGGGTGACTATCTTGCTATGCTGTTCACTGCATAAGACATAGAATGACTAGCTATCTTGTGAACAAGGAATTAAGCCTCCTGATAGCCTGTTAAAAAAAAAAAAAATTCTAACTGTGAAACCTATGCATGAATTTTTAAAGAGCTGGTTATATAAGGAGTTTTGGTCTCAGCTCACATTGTCATCCCACTTTTATCTAATGCTTAAGACACTGCCCTGAATACATAAACCCATCTGTGCAAGGCTGTTGAATTATGTACAGAAGGCAGGGAATAAATAATGTAGCAGATTTTAAAGATGGAATCTTTAAAAAAAGGTGAATATTTTCCCATCATTGAAAGGCATTCAAGCTGTTGGCCTGTTGTGTAAAGCTTCAGTTGATTTACTGTACCTTGCCCTCCTGGATGGTGACAACATCAGGCAAACCTCCAAGTACCCGGGCACGATCTGGAAAAAAATAAGCGTAATTTTCTTTAGTGTCTCAAAATCAGTTGTGTCCCAGATTCTGTTTCCCTTCTAGTTCTTTCATATTATCTTATTTATGTAGAACTGGTCTCTGATATCTGTGCTAGCAGAGAACTATTCAGCATTCTTAGCACACCATTTGGGCTTTAAAAAGCATTGAATTCACAGCAAAAGATGTGTTAATAGCTGGTGTCAGTCACTTACAGAAGGGAATTAAAGTACATGTGCTGTGTCCTGCAGATTTTGCCATCAATTCTTCTGAGTGCACACAAAAAAAAAATCTGAATTTTTGAGATCTAAATTTTTAGTGTCATAAACTAAAAATGTTGTGTTTCCAAAAAGAAACGAATGACAGCTAATAAAGTGGTGATTAGGTTTTGACCTAAATACAAAAACAGCCTCAGTGACAGCACTGCAATTGCACAGCTTTGTACGCATCTGGGTGTAAAGGAGATCAATATTCGGTCTAGTGCTAAGCTCAAAGTCACATAGGAATCTTACATAAACACAAATACACTGATCACATGCAGGCTTTGGTGCACTTATTCTGGAGTATGGATTTTGTTCGTTATAAGTCTTAGTGGAGCCTGGCAGAGGAAGGAAATGACTGCACAGAATGTTCCCCTCTAACATAGTCTGTAAAGATGTGCTCTGGAGCACAGAGATAACAAGCTTATGAGACCAGGAATAGGACTGCGTTATGTCAGTTAACATGCCAGCCCCTTATGAACAGTCCAGGGTTAGAAATGAAATGCTCAGGGCAGAGCTATTACTGATCCCTTCCTGCCGTCTCAGCTGGGACTCGTAAGGATCACTGTACATTTCCAAACCCCGCTCTATTTGGAGTGTATGTCCAGGAGGGGTTAGCTCAGATCTCTCTACACATTTTTCTCTGGTAACTTTTCAAATGCCAGTTCTGCCCTCATTTTCATACAGATCTGAACAGCATCTGCAGTGGGAGAACTTTTTGATGTGTTACATTTTTTCCATTAATTTTTCTGTAAATAGGGAGAATATTGAGCTTATATAATTCAAGTTGAATTCTAATGACTTATTCCTTAAGTAATTATTACATATTTTTGTTTTAGTTGCTATGTTGTAATTGACACACACCCTCACAAGTATCAGGAGATTCAGGGATGAGTCTTTAAGCAATGTAAGAGCTACTGTTGCTTCCTTACCCATCTCTATGCAATGCAGAGCCATTTAACATTTTAGATAGTCCAAAATTTGCCAAGTGATTTCCTCTGTCTTTGAAAACAGTGACTTTTGTGAAGAGAACATGCATGAGAGATCTCAGCAATAAAGATAATATTTAGCAAAGGCTACCTGGTAAGGGGAACAGGAGCTTAGACTGGAAAAATCAACATAACCCATAGCTATAGTGGCATTAGCTGCAACATGCACCAATGTTAAATCACTAAAAGGTCACTCTCCTTGCTTCCCCTCGGTGTAAGGAGAAATTCATTTTAGGATGAGCACATACGCATACACATATATACATGCCTTCTCTCCCAACACATGACCTTCCTGGAGAGGAAGAAAACCTTTGTAAGCAGTTTATTGCAACTATTGTTAAAGGCCCACTTACTTTTCTCTGCAATTGCAGCTTGCCTAGAGTTGAAAGAAACAAAAAGAAAGTCCAATTTCAGTTGAGGTTTAGAGTGATTGAAAAATAGCTTATCTTTTTAATTGCCTTTAACCCATTAAGGAAAATCTCTCTTGTCATTTGGCAATACTGCTCATTCTTCTTTATCTAACTGTTATATAAGAATTGCACCAAAGAAGTCACATGCAAAACTCCTACAGACTTTTGTAGGACTAGGATTTGTCTCACAGGACATATTTAGCTCCAGCACAAAACAAACAAATACTATATTTTATGGCTGCCATTTCTGTATTTAGATGGCATAATACTTACTTTAATCTCTGGAACTCAGCAAAGGCTTCATCAAACGCTTTGTAAAGAGAAAAGTTGATTTTAAAGGTAGGTTCAGAGATAAATTATCACAAGTTTAAAATTAGAATTTAGAACTAAATTAAATATGTAGACATCATTAAAGAAACAGTAATGTGTGGATGCATGAATATTGTATAAGTCCTAAAGTGCGGAATGGTTCAACTAATAAAGGCCATCTTGCATATGGCAGCTCTTATATATACATATGAGTGCATAATTACACTTTTTTTTCTTCTAAAAGTCAGGCTTTAAGACCAGAGATAGCGGGAGAGCAATAGGCTGAAATTATCTTACAAAACAGAGGAAGAAACACACAATATGCCACCTAAATGATAGCTTACAGCAGTGGTCTCCCAGACTTTTTTGATCGTGTACCCCTCCTATAGGTAAAAAATTTTGAGCATGCACCGTTGGTATATGTATATTTAATTATTTATAAATTAATGTAAATAGATGTACTACTCAAGTTCTCATTTTCTTCCTGCACCCCAGCAGATCATCTTGTACACACCCTACTTTGGAGACCACTGTCTTATGGAATACAAGAGATCTGTTTTTTCCAAGTGCTTTTCACATCTGCTCTGAAGCATGACGCTGATGGCCATGAACAAACCAGACAGCAAACTGCTGTCTTCTTCGTAAATTCAGGCTAAGCTACCATCACGTGGGAGGTCAACCTCTCCACTTTGAAAGGGAAGAAGAAATCTCTTTTGTCAGAAAGTGGGGACAGAGTACAGAAGGAGCACCATGGAGATGATTATAAGGTTATTGCCCTTACACAGAGCTTGCAGACCCAAAGTGAAGCTTTAGGGATAGGAACAGTGGGAGATGGAAATTTCTCAGTTTGGAAGGAGTTAATCTGTTCCCTAGGATCTGAGAGGTCTCAGAGTAAAAGTTTCCAAGACTCAATCAAAATAATTTTAGCTGTTCCCCTAGCATTCCTTCACTGTGCTGATGAAAGGGACCAGTCTTGACATCTCTGAAGAATAAGGAGCCCTATTATATCCATCAAAGAAATGCAGTAGGAAAGTAACAGAATGAACTTGTCCCTCACTTCCTCCTCCCAATATTGCTTGGAAGGGAGAGATACAGAAGGCATTCAGTGCTACAACTTGTATTTAAAACTGACAATCAATGCCAGCAACACAAGGGGTTTTGTAAGACAGCTCAGCAACTGGGCTGACATCTCAGTAGACAAACTGTAAGTGGGTATTTGGAATAGGAAAAAGCTGTTTGTAATTTATGACCCAGGAGCACAGGCTGGGGAAAAAAAAAATTGCAGCATCCCCACAAACACTGACAGGCTGCTGGGTACACACAAAGACTCTACAACCCAAATGGTAACAGGTCTGCAACAAGATCCTGGTGCAGATGCTCCTACCCTACCCCAGTGTAGTGCCCACATACAATCGATGTTGGCAGAGGGAATGGCCTACCTTGTCCAGAAAGATCCAGTGTCTTTTTGTGGGCTATTTTACCATCAAAGAGTTCCATTGTGTATTTGCCTTTGTCCTGTGGAGTTGGCTCATTGATCTGCAACCATACCTGCTCCCCGGTGACACCAGTCTTCACTCGGTCTGTAAACCTGATCTGGGTATCGCTGAAAAATACACAACAATGTTACCCTGTTGTTTTGCTGGAGCATAAATGGGATTTGCTCATGATGAGTTACTGAGTGTGTCTACAGTTAACTAAATTGTTTCCAAGGTGATATGGTATGCCACTATAGTCTGAAACCTTTTTCTTACTAAAGCTGTGGGCCAACAGGGCAGAATTGACATGACAGTCTTTCCCGGTTCCAGGTCTAGCTCTCCTCAGAGCTTGCAGCAACATTATGCATCTTGGTCTATGACCTGAGCCATAGAAGAGTTATACAAATTTAAAACCCAGATCTCTGAAGGGTAATCCATGCCTCCTCAAATGTTCATGTCTTAGCATAGGTTTATTTCTGCTTGGACAAAACAAAACTATAACCTACAAAACCCCCCATTTTTGTCACAAATGGTTTTTGCCTCGTTGGAATGTTTTCTGATGCTCTGCTGTGCTTTGGCATTTACAATTAAACATAATTTGACATAAGTATATCTTCTTCCACAAAAAAATATCAATTTCTCAGCTTCCTAGGTAAGCAGTTAATTGCCCTGGATGAGGCAAAAGGTATTTGTCAAATGAGCTACTCATTTTCTTTTTATCTTTAAACTCGTAACTTCAAATATACTAGAGAGTCACAGAACATTTTTACTAGATTTATTTGAGTGTTTCAAGATTAAATTAGTTTCTAAATATTAAATAGAAGGAGAAAATTAAGAGAGAAAGAAAAATCAAGAATACTTCATGTTCCCTTCCAGTTTTGAAATGCTTAGGATTACTGGCAATACCAGGTCAAAATGAGTGCCCAGAAACAGGAAAACCTCAAACTGCTTTAATTTCTCTGACAGCGTCGCTGGTTAGCATCAGTGTCAATAATTACAGCCAGACTGCTACAACACATCCTGGGTACACTGTGCCTCATTTACATGAGTTTTACTGAGAGATCAGTAGTTCAGATTCCCTCCTAAAGACTAAGTACTACCATGTCCACAGGAAGTGAAGCAGCAAGAATAGTAACAATAGATTTGAAATTATTCAGATATGTTATTACTATTACATCAAATCTAAGTTATTTACTTCTCTAGGTTTTCCAGTGCATGCTGTTTGCACTGGCTGAGAATGCAAAGTTGTCTGGTGGATTTGGATATGCAGCTCCCCTAAATTTTATGGGGAGCTGGGCATGCAAATTATTTTACAAAATCTCAGTTCTTTGTCTTGGTTAGGTTTGTGGCTCTCACAGGACGGGCTGCCTGGATTTTACCACCCTGCTGAAACTTGCTTAGTGTCCTAAACATGAACCCATGCATTAAGAGGACGTGCCCACTTGTCCCAGTTCCCATGAACTGCGGCTTCTAGACAAGCAGAACTCTAGGCTAGGTATCTCTGAACCCGTGGTGCTGGTCTCTTTTAAAGCTTGTCAGTGTCTTAGGTTATATTTACATCACTCCTCTAAACTGATCCAGGGAAAGGTGCAGCTCACATCCGGAAGGTGGGAAGTGCTCTGAAGCAGCACAGCCCTGACAGCATTCTGTGGCATGTCTCGTTCACATCTCATGAAGGAAACGACAGGAGGGACCTGTACCACCAACACCTGACTCTCGTACTGGTTTCACATGGGTGTAATGCGCTGAAACTAACTCCCATGAGAGAAGGACTCACGAGAGATGAGAAGAAAACTGTGCCTCATCTCTCTCATGTATCCAGGTTCTTTCTGGGTCTATAAAAACAAAATTGCACTGACTTTTGCAAAACTTTTGCATACTTACTTGTGCACCCAGCCTACTCTCAGATCTTCCACATAATAAGTAACATAGGAGTACAGTCTGATACCCTCAGCTGTGCTCTGGATTTTCAGGTCTGTTGCAGATAAAGCTGAAAGAAGAACACATGGTTTTATGCCACCATGCAGCCATTTATTGAGTCACAATGAGTCATTCATTTGAAAAGAGAATTAAGTGCTTACCAATCCTTCTGCATACTTCATTCATCACATCTGCAAAAGCTGTGGAAATACAATCCAGAGACTAAGACTCTGTCTGCAGCTCAAGCACCATCAATAATAGGACAAGTACTGGCTCTGAAATATTCTCCCCAGTAGGTTTGAAAAAGAAATTGGACCTACTTTATAAAGTATTAGAAATCTAAGTAATGCAGAAATATAGCCTGTTAATCCACATTTTCCAGACTTTTAACAGCAGCCTTGATGAATACCGCTGCAGCTGAACAAAACTATATTATCTTTTTTTATTGTCATGAATGCCACTATTCAATTGGAAGGCTAAACCATCTATATACATTCTAGTGGATAGATTTTTTTGCACTTGCTTGGAAACATAAGTGAAATGTTAAAAATACAGTAATCACAATGAGTGGAAAGGCCCCTAAATAAATGAATGGCAAAACATAATAAGAATGTGAAACCTTTTAAAATTGTCTAGTACTAGAATTTCTTCCTATACTTACACTACTGATGGCCCCCTGAGGAAAACTGTTATTTTGCTTAGTGTTAGTCACCATATTCTCCTAAATTATATAGAATCCAGATGCAATAGCCTGTATTCAAATATAATTTCAACTGAAAAATCTCAGTTTTTCTAATGAGGTGATCTTGTACACAGAGGGAACAAAGCCACAGGAAGGTGACACATGCAGTTGCCTGTATTAACCCGAACCCGCTTGCAGGCAAGCAGTCAGGCTGTCAGCTGGTGTGACTGGCAGCATGCAGAAAGTGGCTCTGACCTGTGTCCTTAAGCTTTAGCTCACTGGAGTCCTTTCCTCTGTCATCCTTCAGTATGACTTCGTACGTGCCAGCATCTTTCTTAGAAAACTGCAATATTGTAACAGTAAAACTATTCAGAATAGCTAATGCAGAAAAATTTAGATTTTCCCCCTGAAGCCAGCTGACATCCCATCCCCATCCCCAGGGGGGTGCCCGATGCCCAGGCTGGGGCTGCCCTGGTGCCCCCCGGCTGCCTTGGTCCTGGCTGGGGCGGTGGGACGGGCACTGGCTTGGGGGTCCTGGTCTGAAGCCACGGGGGAGCCCCCAGCCCCAGGGTGTCCTGACACTTCTTCCCTTCCTCAGCAAAGGAACCAGGAGCAAATAGATGAGCTGGTGAATGCGGGTCACAGCCCCAGTCTGCAGCAAGGCTGGGTACGGACCAGACCTCTCTGGTGACTCCGAGAGGGTGGTCCTCTGAAAGCCTGAGTGACAAGTGCTTTCCAAATGCCATTAAAAACGTAAATGTGGTCTCATTCTGTTGTTAAACTGACATGCAAAGGAAGTGACAAGCTTATTATCTCTTCTGTCATCATTTCCTGAAAATCTGAACGAGCAGTTATAGACAGACATTTGCTTTAGCTAAAACACAGACACCTTTTTCCATTTTTAAAACCCACTTCCTTTTTTGATTGTTCTGCTGAAATATCAGATTAGATCATATCATTCATCTGAATTTGTAGCAGCAACTTCAGCTGAGGGCTAACAAGGGCAGTCACTCACCTCTGATATCAGCAGAGTACACACGCCATCTTTAAAGTCATGTTCTTCATCTACCATTATCTCCCTGTCATCTTTGTACCATACAATGTGTGTTTCCTTCTTGATATTGGCCACCTAAGATGGATGAAAACCACATCGTAATTATTCTCTCCATTTGAGCAGGGGAACTTAGCGTCACCTGGCTTAGCCTGTTCAAGGCTCTCATGAAAGAACAGCAAGCTGCTCAGGCTGGTCACAGTGGGTTATTGCAGACCTCTGTTTTCAAACGAGGGATGCAAGAGGGAAAACAGTAGGGATGAAAACAGAGAGAAAAGAACTGCCAACAGCTTCAAGGAGCCCAGGTCGCTAGTGGATGCTGCTCAGGGGATTTCTACACACATAAAACAGCCCAAAACGGGAAAGTCCCAGGATTTACAAAGCTGTCACTCCTATTCAGGTGCCTTTTCCTGGGTGGGTGGCTGACACCTGAAGAAAAAAGTTCAAGCTATTTTCCGAGGCATTTTGTTACACTCAATGAACAGTCACCCCCTTAGGCTTCAGAGGCTCTGTCGCTGTCCAAGATGCAGTTGAGAGAACACAGGCAAAGGGCATGATTTTAGTCCCTTCCCGCCCTCACCATCTAAGCCGTGGGAGGTCAAAGTGCTTTGAACATTGTACTTAATGCTTTCCTTGTCCCTTACCTTACATTTCAACATCACGTTACAGTCATCGGTAACTTCCCATCCCAGTTGATCCACAAAATGAGGACCTGTTTAAATTTACAGATATATTTTTAAAGGTCGCATAAATGGTATTCACAATACCAACGACTAATGCATTTTGCTTGACAAGCATACTGTTATATTTTAATGTGGTTTTATTTTTCTTATTTCTCCTTCAGAATGTAAGCAACTATGTAACAGAACAAACCTCATATATTTCAGATTAACATATATATAAATATAAATAAACTCTTAACAGACTAACACATGTGATTTTTATAAATATCCATATTATCACCTTGTTTCCTGTGCCACTCTTTTCTCTGGAAATCTGCTTCATCCTGCAGCTTCTTGAATACTGGGAATCAAAATCAGCAAGAAATATTAAGGTTAAACATCATGTGCCATTTATACAGTACTGAATGTGACTATAACAGTTAGATGCAACTCTATCCCTTGGAGGTCAACGAGAATCCTGCCTTATAGCGTCAGCTTGTCACTGAACATTTCAAAGTGTCAGAAGCTGATTACAGCTAACCCAACTTTCCTAGCTGCTTGCAGTCATCAGGAGTTCATTGTGTCATGTCTGATGAAGCGTAATCCTCAATCATACAGCTGCTTTCCACTCTCAGTAGGAAGGCAAAGGAGCAGCAGCAGAGTCGGCAAGCCACTTGAGCTCTAAGAGGCTCAGATATGTGTTCTTGGCTGAATGGGCTTTTTGCATGGGAAATTTTCATTCCACCCATAGAAAAGCAAATAATAACAGGCTACAATATTTTACATTTCTGTAACAATTCCCCTTCCTCACAGCAATTTAAAAATACCAGTTCACATATATGCCCTGTCCTATATGAGGCACTGTGACATGAAAAACCACTGGAACATCTATTGGTATTGAAAACAGTGGAAAGTGAAAATGACATCGGAGGTAACCTCAATACAATTTTTAAAGCCTACTGTGCAATATAGATTAGCTTACCATCACCAATGAGGACAAGGCTAGATTGATTGGTTGCTTTTCCATCCTGCAGTTGGAAAGTGTAAGTCCCTTCATCCTTGTCCTCAAGTTTATCCATAATCATTTCAATAAGGCCAGTCTTCTGGTCCACCTTCATTTTGTATTTCTTCAGGAATGGAAAGTAAAGCAGTAGTTAATGCATGTCAGAGTGAGAAAATATTTGTCAAATGTTACATGGTATTTTTAGGTGAAATTTTGTTTTCTTCAGATTCCTGCTTATTCAGGTTCCCACTATCTCTAGCTCCAGCTCTAAACATAAACCCAAATAAATAAGAAATTTCTTAAAGGTGAAGCCTATTTACTGATGATATACAAACGTGACATTCCTGCGGTATGGTGACTACTGTGTTCTTCATTAGAAAGGTTTAGATTCGCATCTCTTCAGAATAAGACTGTCTTTGAGGTAGTGATATTTTATAAGTTTTTGTGCAGAATGCTCCATCTCTGCCTTCTAACCAGTATCAGTGTTGTAACAAAAGCATGCCATATCCTGTCTTTGAGAGTAACAAGTTCTGCTGCTGGAAAAAAAAACACTTGGGAATTTTCCCTTCGTGTAACACATTACTCCAAACAGCAAAGAGAAGCGAGAACCAAGCACAAGGGTATGCTGGGGCCATAGGTGAAGGAAATAGGATGAATCTGGGCTACTGCAGTGACTCCTTGAAGACCACAGTAGCTGCTTACCTGGGACTACCTTATTGCAGGAACTCCTGTGGTCCCCACTAGTTAACAGAACATGTTGTACTCACAGAGGTGGCAGGAAGTCATTTAACTCAATTTTATAAACTGCATCCAGTAGAATTCAGCTGGAGCTCAGAACTATGGACAAAATCTTTCTAACGATGCTTTGAATGACATATGTTATTTCTCATCTAAATGCATTAGTGTGGAACACCAGCTGTAAGTGTATTGGAGACAGACATTAATAGTCACTGATACTCATAAAAATGCAAACACCTGTAAGCAATGAAAAGGCTTACCTCTCCATTAAAAATCTCCTTGTCATTAAATACAAAGTTGGCCTTTGCATTGCCAGACAGGTTTTCAGCCTGCAACCAGAATCTCACTTCTCCTTTTTCCAAAATTTCCACTGCCAACTCAGAGGCAAGTGGAACAGCTACAAAGAAGAAAGAAAAGAATGAAGCATATCTTTTGCCTGTGCCCCAGCAACTATTTTCTTCTATAATCAGAAAGTCGGTTCTTTCTTTCATACTCAGATACTGTATGCAGGGTAGCTAGCTTGTGACAGCTCTTCATATAGACAGAATGCCTCTCCACCCACATATACATAGGATGACAGACAAGATTTAATCTTTTGATCCTTCAGTCACTAGGTCTATACAGACTGGAAGTGTTTGGGATTTGAGTTGTGGTAGTGTCCCTCTATCCTAATACAAGGCTAAATCTGTTTCAAAGGTAAACTGCATGCATCTCTGCAGCATGATGTGAGTCTGTATGGCACAGACTCATGTTTAATGAGTTGCCTAACAATATTAATGTAAGACAGTGAACTGACTCAGTGGAAAAACAAATAACAAAAAAGCCCCAAGCACAAAGCCGTATCAGAAAGTCAGCTGCTGAGCTGCAGGTTGGGATATTTTTGTAAGCACTCTGTTCTTTTGCTGGGTAGAACCTCCATCTCCAGACTTTACTGTATCACACACGCCCTCAATCTCCCCAGTACATTTTGTCTACCTATGAATAATGGAAATCCCCCATACATAGACGAATTCCTTGTGTTAGCAGGAAAAAAATCATATAAAGGATACTATACCTAGGTAATATTAGTTATTTTGTTTTTTCCATTTTTCCTTGTTCTTGTTAGTAAAAGTCCTCAGCTTGCTTTCACTTTAACTTTTTGTTAAGATATCCTCGGTCTTCACTGGTGGCCAGGATTC